GTATGGTAAACAGGGTGACTTTTTTATTGTGCCCCTGTTCTTCTCTCTTCCACGAGTGCAATTTTATTTACAACCGCTTTTTGAAAGTTGAACAGTTCAATTGCCCAACTTTTCTTATCAGAAACAGTTTTTATTATCTTTATTGAGTTCAAATGCGGTCTAGGAAGACTTTTCAGGATCTTTTTTCTCTCTCCTTCCAGATCCCCGCACTCAGCAGTAAAATGGTATATTTCATCGGTTATCTGACTTCCGCATAACTTACAGTACAAATATTCTTTCTTAATTACGTAAATATGATTTTCTTTGATCAATGTTGATATTAATCTGATCTGTGCAATAAAACTCACTAAAGCTGAGGACAGATTGCATGAAAAATAATATTCTGGAATGAATGAATCATAAAGTAACCTATAGTTTGAGTATGTTTTCGTAAGAGATAATTTTGCCAGATCTTGCTGCAATAGCTGTTCAATTTTTATTTTTAGTATATTCGGAAGTTCGATCTGTATGTCATCATAATTTAACCTATAGTTTAGCCGTGTGAGTCCACAATGATTGATGATATCCATGATATTTTTACAGAATCCTATAGGTTTTTTGTCATTAAGAAAATTTCCTTCAATCTATTCCAGCATAGCTTAGGTAGTCTATTGTCTTCCATTTTTTGTAATCTAATGAAATATTTCATAATTAATTTGATCGTTGTAAAAGTCAGAGATATTCTGCCTGTTTCCAGCCTTACAATATACCCTGGTATATATCTTGGTAGATTCAGAAAGTTTTTGATAAACGTATTCTGTATTTGGTCTATAATATCAGTATTGTCCCAAGCCCACACAGGGGCCTCATAAAGTAGTATTGATTTAATAACTGAGTCAAATAAATTCAGTGCAACTTTTAATGAATTAATTTTTTCCTTTTTTATCAGTCTAATAGTTGCATTTATTGCCGTATTTGCTTTGGCTTTATAAAAGAGGGCTACCTTTTTGCTATTATTAGTGGTAGTGAATGGATATCCCAAATATATAATATTGGACGCAACAGTCAGTGGGATGTCCCCCCAGTACCAGTTTTCGTGTCTTGCCGGTCTTCCTCCATTTCTAAATACCATTATTTTGGACTTATTTTCATTTAAAACTAATTTGTTATTATCCAGGTAAGACTTTAGTAAATTGATTTTAATTTGTAGATTAATTTTCGATTCTCCAATTATGGCTATGTCATCCGCATACAGAAGTAGGTGTAAAACACCAAAATCGGGGAGATGAAATCCTGTAAGTGCTGAGTTATTATAAAGTTCTATTAGGTCGGCCATACATAATATAAATAAAAGTGGGGAAAGTGATTCTCCCTGCAACACTCCAGAATTAATTTTCACATTACTTGAATATTGCCCTTTCCATCGGATAGTAATCTTAGCTTCTTGGTAAAAGTTTTTATCAGCATTACAAATTTATTGCTAATGCCCATTTTATGCAATTTTTGCCAAAGTAAATCATGTGGTACTGTGTCGAAAGCTTTAGTCAAATCGACGAAGAAGACATATAGCTTGCCTCGTTTTCTTCTCAAAGATAATTGGATGAGTGAATTCAGTAGTAGTATGTGGTCAGTGCATGATCTGTTCTTACGGAAACCTGCTTGATTTTCTAAAATAATCTCTCTTTTTTCTATCCAGTTGTTTAATCTGTTTCTTAGTATTGTAGTAAATAATTTAGATATATTACTGCAGAGGGCAATCCCTCTATAATTTGTTGGGTTATTCTTATCACCGCTTTTATATATGGGGTGTACTATTGAGTTCGTCCAGAGTTGCGGGTATTTTTCTGTGGACATTATTTTGTTGAATAGGTTTTTCAATTTAGTTAAAGTCGGTATCGGTAAATTCTTTAGCAACTCATTTGGTATACCATCGAGTCCCACTGCTTTGCCATTCGCTAGATTTTTTACTACATCATAGATCTCTTCAAGGGTTATTTCCGCGTCTAAATCTGGATCTTTCCAACCGATCATCTGGTTTAACGTAAAGGTAGCTTCATTATTTTCTTTGTTCAGTAAATTTTATAAAATAAAAACCATTCTTTTATATCAATCTCTCCTTGTATTATTGTTTTTTTTTTCTAAAGGCTGCAATGGCATTCCAGAAGGATTTGGGATCTTTGGCGTTTTTTATCATTTCATTCTTGTCCTTATTAAATTCATCTCTTTTTCTTTGCAGGAGCTTAAGATATTCCCTCCTAGCTTCAATATATTTTTGGCGGTCGTGTATGTTATTTGAGTTCCTACATCTTTGTAAACTTACTTTGGTCGTTTTTTTCATAATGTAACAATCTTTGTCATACCAAGGTTTAGAAAGTTGATGTCGTCGTTTTGCGAATTTAATTATATTTGCCGATTCCATTGCCGTGTAGATCTGTTTAGTAAAATTTACTGTTTTTGTGTTAATATCGGTTTCATTTCCATCTTCTATATCACTTAAATTATGTTTTAGCATCTCCACATTTTCTTTCTTCCAAATGAATTTTCGTGTTAGTATTTCATTGTTATACGAGGATTTAATAGCTTCATACCCAGTATTAATTTGTAAAACAATTGGTAAGTGGTCTGAATATGAAAGTTCTTCGATCCAAATATCCGATATGATCTGTGTTAAACCGTGTGTGTACATAAAATAATCCAAAACCGATGAACCTCTTTCTGAAATAAAAGTGAATGAGCCGTACGTATCTCCTTTAGTTGTGCCATTAGCTATTGTTATAGAATTTGAATCTGTGAAGGAAATTAGTTTTTCAGATAGAGTATGTTCTTAAATATACTAACTGCTCTTTGTATTTCTGTAACAAAGTACTTTAATCCAAAATTACATTAGCCTACATCAGAAGCGCAAGGAGCTAAATGGATCCTATGCAAATGAACCAATTTAGCGTTTCAAGATTCGCGGACAAATTTACACGAAAGAAAAAAAAAAGGCTTTCAAGTTGAAAGGCTAAATAGTTTTGTTATACGAGGTGTGTTAAAAAAGTATCGCGACTTTTGAATTTTCGCGGGTTACGTATATTCGAATTTCGATCTTTTTGTGGCTTTATGTTGGTACTCATGTCTCTCACTTATGCCGACAAGCTCGGCCATTTTGAATGTTCACTTAATTGTTGACAGCTGCTTTGCTTGCAGGTGTTTTGGATCGTCTTCGATTTTTACCTATTTAAAAAATGGATCAAAGAACCTGTATCAAATTTTGTGTGAAAAACGAAATTAAATGCGCGGATGCATTCCGAATGTTGACTGTGGCATACGGAGAAGCTACCTTGGACCGAAGCAACGTTTATCGGTGGTACAAAATGTTCTCAGAAGGCCGAAAAGATGTGAACGACGAAGAGCGTGCCGGAGGCCGAGCACTTCAACAACAGACGAAAAAATTGATGAAGTGGAGAAAATGATATTGGCCAATCGTCGAATCACCGTTAGAGAAGTTGCTGAGGACCTAAACATATCGATTGGCTCGTGCTATTCGATTTTCATCAATGATTTGGGCATGAGACGGGTCGCCGCGAAATTCGTACCAAAATTGCTCAATTGCGACCAAAAACAGCATCGCATGAACATTGCTAATGAGATGTTGGACTCTGTCCGCGACGACCCAAATTTGCTCCAGAGGGTCATAACTGGTGACGAAGCGTGGGTTTATGGTTATGACGTGGAAACCAAAGCTCAATCATCTCAATGGAAGCGCGCCAAGTTCGGTCGAATGTGAAAGTTTTGCTGACAGTTTTCTTCGATTGCAGGGGCGTGGTGCATCATGAGTTCTTGCCACAGGGTAGAACGGTCAATAAGGAATATTACCTGCAAGTTATGCGCAATTTGCGCGAAGCAATCCGCCAGAAACGCCCGGATTTGTGGAAGAACAAAAATTGGCTTTTGCACCACGATAACGCCCCTGCTCACACATCGTTGCTTGTGCGCGACTTTTTGGCGAAAAACAACACACTAATGATGCCGCAGCCACCGTATTCCCCAGATCTGGCCCGCTGTGACTTTTTCTTGTTCCCTAAACTGAAGAGGCCCATGAAAGAACGACGTTACGCTACGCTTGACGAGATAAAGACGGCATTGAAGGAGGAGCTGAAAAAGATTTTTTTAAAAATGATTTTTTGAAGTGCTTCGAAGATTGGAAAACCTTTGGCACAAGTGTATAATATCTCATGGGGATTACTTTGAAGGGGACAAAATAGGTATTCATGAATAAATAAATAATTTTTGAAAAAACACAAAATTCGCGATACTCTTTGAATACACCTCGTATAAAAATAAAGAGCAAATGACAAATGTGTTTGTAAGAGTTAAGAGCAAGCAGGTGATATACTAGCCTGGTAAAAATGAAATTAAAAGGTAAAATATTTAAAAAGGCATCTCCTTATCGTGCAACTGAAAGTTGCTGATGGCTTGCGCCATTGTGGGGGCTGAGAGACTTCCTTCCAGCCTGCTGGGATGACGAACCACGCCGTCAACAAACATACAAGCGGCGCCATGAAATAGGAGATGACCACCACTGCGCGGCGCGGCACAGCGGCGGAAACCAGAGAGGACCAGAATAGACATTCTAGGGTGTTGTCCTTTTGTCTTCCTCTAAAAATGTAGCAAATAAGAAATTCCAATAAAACACCAACTTTGAAATACTTTCTGAGCCATCGCTGGACTAATAAATCGACGCACAACACCATCTATCGGAATAAATATCAACTATTATCGTTGATTTCTAATTATTCCAGAGGAATTCCTTTCAGTTGCACGATAAGGAGATGCCTTTTTCATAATTTATGTACCTTATCCCAGTACAATATCACGTTTGTACTATTTTTTCATAAAATATTAAAATATTCTGAAGATAAAGGTTGCCTGGCGAGCATTCATATTTCTGTGAAAAATAGACACTTTGACCAGTTATGATCCAAGATCATAGTCTTTGACGAGTTTAATAATTGTTTTTGACTCGCGCTTTAGATGTTGTACTAAATTCGGTGGAAGGCTGGTTAAACCGTTTGGTTTACGACCACTACGACCCGGGTTCGATCCCCGCATTGGACACTTTTTTCTGTTTAAAAAAAAATGCTCCAATGGCCCCCCGATTCTTTCAAAAGTCCAACCCCACCAGCGAGTGCAAGTAACCAAACGGGGCTCTGGCACATTTGTAAGTGCAAAGTCGAACTGCTTTCACATGTGTAGACATGTGGTGCGCTTACAGTAAAAAAAGCAGTCGCTAAATACCCACCATGATTATCATGGCCTGTACCACGTGTACTAGGGATAAGCAAAAAAAAAAAAACTAAATTCGAAAAATCACGTGAGAACGCCCTTGCAACCTCAAAACCATTTTTAACGCCTTGCCAAATGCTTTATTTTTATTTACTTCTCCTGACGAAGACAAAATAATTTTGTCGAAACGTTGAGAAAAAAAAAAAACTCTAACTGGCCAAAGTGTCTATTTTTCATAGAAAAAAATATTAAAAGTTAAAAAAAAAAAAAACTGTATAGAAAAGCAGTTCAAAGCGGTGTGAAATATCAGTAGTCATATCTAATTAATGAAATATAAAAAATGATCTGTATGTTAAACTATATTTAGTATTTTTTCTAATTAATAGCTTTTTGTAGGGCGAAAACCTCTATAGCAAATAATAATGATTTCAATGATTTTTTAATGTATAGCTCAAAATTCAATTAACCTATATTAAATTTAATTTCAAAAAATATTTTTATTTTACATTTACACTCAGCAAAAAATGCACTCGGGAAAAACCCTGACATTACCCGGGTCATTTGTCAAGTATATAACTATCAATCAAGAGCTTAGATATTTACCTTGAAAACCATCACGAAAAATGCTCAAAATTGAAAAATTGCTGAAAATAGCGGTCTGGTAGATTGTACTGGTGAAACCGCTGGGAGGTTTCCCCACTGATGAGCAAAGCCCTCCAAATATTTTTATCTTCTTAGCAGTAGGCAATTGCTTTAATTGATAAAAGGCGTCGAAATAACTCAATTATTGATCAAAGAGCCTTGTTTCTTGGATTTCAGTAATCTGGTGATCCAATGTTTCCATCGTTACCAGATAGTTGGCCACATTCCAACTTTTCACATTTGGTGGCGAGATTATTCTGGTAGATTGAACTGGCGAAACCGCTGGGAGGGTTCACCACTGATGAGCAAATACCTCCCAATATTTTTATTACCTTAGCATTAGGCATTTGTTTTAATTGATAAAAAAAAGCGTCGAAATGACTTTAATTCTTGATTAAAGAATCTTGTTTCTAGGATTTCAGTAATCTGGTGATCCAATGTTTCCATTATTATCAGATCTACATAGAATAAATGATTAGCCAGGTAGGTAAACTCACACACTTCTAGAATTAGATTTTCCTTTCTTATTTACATACAGGCAAACGACACGTGACAATCATAGCAGAAATTACCTCTGTTTAGCATAGTTTTAAATGAATAATTCTCTAAAATATTGCATGTTTTCATTATGAAATATTCCTTAAAACTTTCTTCAATCTGTAAATTGTTTTCCTCGAATACACACAATACTTTACAATTTGATTTCATTTAACTATATTTGCATACCAACCCTTTGTACATATTTCAATTGTGTTGATATTTTTCTCTTTTCATCTAAAACTTGCATACTAATTCTTGTACATATTTCAAATATCTTTCTTTTTTTTTCAATGTCAGTTTACCTTTGTAGTGGAAGTGTCCCTAGAGAAGGACATATCTAAGTCTAAATAAAATGGCAGAATGGGGTTCTATAGAGATACTTCCTCTATATATTGCATAACAAGACCTCAGATGAACATTTCCACCTTATATCCAGCGAGGTGAAAGACCAGGTCAAGCATCATTATATAAAATGGAAGCACCAATTCACCTTTAACCAAACAGAGGGTAGCGGGCCAGTCAGAGGTCAGTAAACCACGTGCTAGGAAGGAGAACACCAGGTCATTTCTAGCAAGACGGAATTAACCGAGATAAATGTAGAGCACAGCTACGTTAGACAATGATTCAATGACCCTGATTGGTAGACATGATGAGTATGATTCGCAATAAGGTGAGTGAACGGCCTCTAACCACGTATTATTAAAAGATAACCACTGACCTCAAGCAATCATACTGATGGTAGGGCCATGTCAATAGGAGGGGAGAGGAAGAGCGGTGTTGTCTAGAATACCATCGACGAAGATCACGTGCCGGTCCCAAGCCCGGATGAAAAAGGAGGAGAGGGAGCAGTAACAAGCTTGCTAAAATACCTGGTCTCAGCTGGCCCTGCTGATAGTACCCTGTAAGGGCTCCTAATCCAGGGATACAGGATGAGCAGCGTTTGTACTTCATGTTAGGAGCGGCTGCACATGGCGTCTGTTCCTCATGTCAGAGGCGGCCATTTATTTTGGAGCTAAGTCGGCCTGCCACTGAGTAGTGTTTCCAGTCTTAATGACAAAGGCAGACGCATTCTACTTCATCCAGTGTGGAGATAAGAAAGAAGAAGAATCATACTGATGGTAGAGCCATCTCAATAGAAGGGGAGAGGGGAAGAGCGGTGTTGTCTAGAATACAATCATCGACGAAGAACACGTGCCAGGAGGTGAGAGTGAGCGAAATCGAAACTAGAGGAAGGAGGCTGACCATACTTCCTGTTCCGTAGAAATCTGGGGCAGGGGGTCGCCGGGCTGGACAGCATGCCCGCGGCGGTGGTGGTTGATTGTTACGTACATTCCCTAGCCTGTCTTATCGCCAAATTTTGGTTAGTTCTCTCCAGGTAGCTTTACAAAACCAAAGATGAGTACTGCCAAAAATAAATATTTTAAATAAATACTCCCATGAGAGTGAAGAGAGATAGATAGAGATATTGACACTTCTTTATTACATCTCTTTCTCTTTTCCATATAAGATTATATAGGGTTAAATCTTTAATTAAAAAGACATATATGGGATCAAAATATCATTTATTTTACTAATATTTCAATTGCCTGAACGCCAACCTTTATTAAGTTATTATAATATTTTAATGCGTGAAAAAAATAGTACAAATGTGATATTGCACTGGGATAAGGTGCATAAATTATGAAAAAAGGCATCTCCTTATCGGGAAACTGAAATTTGCTGATAACTTGCGCCATCTATCGGAATAAATATCAACTATTCTCGTTGATTTTTAATTATTCCAGAATTGGCCAAATACCCATTCTTGACTAATCAAGAAAAGCTTCATAATTTTAATGTGTGTCAACAACAAACTCAGCGCCACATAACGTAAATAGAATTAAGTTAAACAAAATATTTTTGCTTATATTCAATGGGGAGGAAAAACGATAAGGTTAAATATAAAAAGTGAATAAAGAAAGAGAGAGTCGTAATGGTAATTAAAGCGAAGTTGTGTCCGGTTCTATTTTTACTATATGCTTAATGTTAATTTAAATATTGTATATATATATACATCAATAGATGAGATCTGTGTAGTACTTCGGTGGAATACAAATCTCTTTTAAATCTTGTCTTTGAATAAAATAAATAAATAAATGACCAGTTTTCAATATATATTTTTAAGTAGAAATGGATTCTATAGATTGCTATAATTTTATAAAAAAGAGCTTCCATTCGATGGATATAGAAATCAATTTATTTAAATCTCCTAGACATTAATTAAACAATTGAAAGATTTCCAAAGATGAGTTTCTTTTTATTTTAAAACTGTCTCAAGCTTTAGGACATCAAAGTCTGGTATCAGGCAGCGTTTTACTCATTGTACATGTTCTCCTGTAGAAGAACAGAGATACCCGAAAGCTTGAGACGGTTTTACAATAAAAATAAACTCATCCCCGGAAATCTTTTTAATTGTTTAATGAATATAGAAATAAAAGATTAATAGAAAAAATAAAAAGGTCAGGTGTTGATATTAAAAATAAAAAAGGTATATCCTGATCAAGATCTTCCTTTTATAGTGATACTGATGCTAGACTCTTGGAATGGGTATTTTAGATGAACTATGGATATAAGCTTTGAGGACAGTAGAATTACATACAATTATAAATAAAAGAGATATGTCCTGATCAGGAGCACATGTGCTTTACAGATGGCAGAGAGCCATCTAGTAGAACAGAAATCAACTAAACATTGATTTAACCTGTTCCCTGATATTTGGCCAAACCAATTTCTTGATAAATCAAGAAAAGCCATCCTTGAACGCGTTTTCCGCTGTTGGGGCTCGTCAGCGTGGCTGTACCATTGTGACCAAAATATTTTGTATATAGAAATGTCGACAGGAAATGTATCTAAGACTTCTGAGCAAAGTCAGACGCCATTAGAAACCATCCTGGAAGCTAATTGGTCAGGAAATACCTGAACCTGACCTTCTTTTTTATTCACTTCCTGGCTTCCTCCAATCTCGACTTTCACTTCCCCTTAGGACTGCTATCTTCTCTTGTGATTCACTTTTAAACTGACGATGATGTAACGCTCTGGAACGTGAACTGTAGAAAGAAAATTCTGTTTTCTATTCGAAGACAACTTTCCAATCCTTTTTAGCACAAATATTAAAATAAGAAATCAACATGCCGAAGATATCTCGGATTTTATGATAGGTCGTATTTTTAGGCTTTCCTGAAAATAATCCTCTTAATTATAAAATGAATATTTAAAATATACACACACAAAAGCCTTTATTAGGGACTTGCCCCATACAGATTCTCCCAATTGGGTAAGGTAATAATCATCTTGTGTTATTTACATAGAAATTGAACTGACTTTACTCTTCGTCTCAAAGTCATTCACTTGTTGACTGGTCCTTACATAATGATGATCTAAAAAATTTTATAGTAAGCTATTGCCTTAGATTTGTTTGCTGATATTTTTGAAAGCAATACGTAGGGTGAAAAGTTGGTACATTTAATTTGCTGATATAGGGCCTTCCTCTCTACATCAAGGGCTGTACAATTAAGCAGGTAATGGGGGAGTTATTCAGTAATTTCCTTGTCACACAGTGTACATATTAAGTTTTTGTACTCAAACGTCAGAACGTGGTTAATATTTAAAAT